GATGGAATCATGACTGTCTGTACTCGATGTCATGGATGAATTTGTTGTCCCTAACTTTTTACAACTTGTCCCTGTAATTCCACATTCATACACCAAGTGTTGTCCACAGCCTTCTACCTCCTGCACACACACACACACAGTGAAACCATAGCAAGTGAGTGAACTTCTCTACCTTAAAACTATTACTACTCACCTAAAATGAAGCTACACTGCAATTTTTTAATACTCAAGCCAAATTAGATTTTGGTATTTTGCGGATTTTGAACATTTAATGTATATTACGTCTTTTTCATTTGTCTTGTCAACCCTAAAAAAAGCACCTAATTAAAGCGTTTTATTGAGCCAGCATGCACAATGGAGTGTTTTCACAGCAGCAGAATAAAAAAAAAAAAAAAAAGCACAGGTGTGATTCCTGCCATTAACACCAGCTGCATCCCCTTCAGGTGAGCTGGATGCCGGGTCACGCTGGCTCGCTGTCAGGACTCACTCGATGGAACGGAGCCATCGCTGACTAAATGAGCTTCACCTGCGTTTTTCCTGCTAAAACTGTCCGCTGTGACTACGGCCTGTAGCCACAACCCGGGTACAAAATAAGCCTAAATGCAATGCAAGCATGAATAATTCAGCAAAATGTAGATAGTCCAGGGAACAGTGGGCCATTTTACACTGAGGGTTAGTTGGGAAGTGGAAAGTAAACAAGTACATTTACTCAGTACAGGTTTTGTATTGAATATCTCCATTTAATGCTGCTTTTTACTTCCGTTTTACGACATGTCAGAGGAAGATTTGGCAGTTTCTGCTCCACTAGTAGACTCCAATACTTATTTAGCAACTTTAGAAACTAGCAGTGTGTCGTCAGTCTCAGATTTTAGATTCCTGAGTTGGTAACAGCTCCAGCAAATACTTTTTTTTCCCCCCTTTAACCTTCTCACATGGTTTTATTGCAATAAATGCTTAAATAGTCCAATATCTCAGCAAATCAATTGGTTTAGCTTAACATAGAGACTGAAAACAGAGGGAAGCAGCTGGTCTGGGTCAATCCCAAATCAGCAAAACCTGTTTGCGAACACCTCTTGGGAGTAGTTTTTAGTTTTTTGTTGGGGTTAGTAAAGATATAGGGTTTTAATTAGAGAGTTTCAGAGGTGCTACATGGATTTTGTTGGTGGTTAACTTAGCTTCAAATTGTTGGCTTCCTGGAGTCTTGCTATCATTACTGAAAAATGGCTCTGAGACACAATTCCCTTATGAACTAAAATAATAATTATGAAGTCGTTGCCAGAGGCTGGTTTAGCTTAGCATGAAGACTGGAAACAGTGGGAAACAGCTAGCCTGGCTTTGTACGCTGCTGGTGTTTCAAGTATTTGTACAAGTTAATAAAAATAAAGGGGCTTCATTCGTAAACCTGAGCTGTACGAAAGAGATTTTGTCAGCTGTGTTGTCTAAGCTAAATCGGTTGGAGCTAGCTTGATATGTATGTTTTGTAGTTTACTGTTAGACCAATTAACTAATTTTGGGAAATGTGTTTATTTGCTTATTGGAAGTGTTGTGAATAGAACCTATGCTGCTCTCATGTCTGTGTTGCAAATATAAAGCAACAGCGCTAAGAGATTAATAGCTTAGCTTAGCATTATTTCGTGGCCAGGTGAAGTGACTTCCCTGATTCTTGTCATCACCATAAAGACGTCTCACATTTCTTGTACTGATAAATGTTCAGACACTCACTTCCCTCATGAACAATACTAACAATTAACTAACTTTTGGCAAGCTCATGACATGTTTGCTCCTCTGGCCTCTCCTTGACCCTCACCCCAACTCTTCAAGGCAGATGGCCGCCGTCCCGGAGCCTGGTTAGCGATAAAGAAAGTTTATTTCTAACAACTGTACCTATAGCGTCTTTTAGGTTTCTGTTTACAATTTTTTAAGATCTTTACCTTACTGTTTGACAAATAAATGAAATATCCTGTGAATTGGCACTATCTAAATACAGATGAACAGAATTCTGAATTGGGGTTTTATTTTTATCTTGTACAGCTCCTACGCATGTGGCCCCAGAAGACCCTTCCAGGACTTAATCAGTCAGCCCCCCTCACCCCTCAGATGCCTGGCTGTGGGGCTGAAACACTGCCCTCCTCCTGGCTCTAAACGCAGTAATATGTTTGTTGTGACAACGGGCTGATAAAGGCTGCTGTCCGCGGGGAGTCGTCCTCTTTCCAACAGGACCAAACTGCCAGAGTTAGTGTGTGTCTGGCTGGACCAAGCAGCCATTTTTTCTACCGCCACAGGAAGCGTCATTACTCCTGTACTGGATTGGATATATAACTAATGAGAGACTGCAGGTATATGATTACAAAGTTCCTCATTAAGCCTGTGATATCATCTTCAAACACACACCGTCCTGGTTCACGAGTGGGAAACATGAGGTGGCAAATTCCACTTGGACTGAATCCTGCGCTTTGTTTATCTCTGTGTTCCTGACGAGGTCTAGTCTCCCAGCAGAGATAGTCAGGCCCTGGACCTGGACACGACCCAGCGGTCCTTTTAAAGCAGCGCGTACAGTGGGTGAGTTGTGGCTAAATCCCCTTCACTAAGAGCGTGAGTCTTTGTGAAATGGCAGACACAGCGGCCGAGGCTCGCTCACAGAAAAGAGGGCACGAGGCTTCAGAGAGCTAAGCCATTATATGATCCATTCTACACTGGCCTCGGTTTTGCTTTGATCCTTCACGGCCACGGGTGGACGGTGCCAACGTTTTGTGCCATGAAGTGAAGCTGTTTTTGCATCTGTGTTTTTGCATCTGTGACCTTGCTGTAAAAGTTGAATTGTGTTGTTTTGCACCTCGTGGATCGCAGCCCAAAGCCTCCGCCCTCCTGCGTCCTGGAACTCACTTTATTGTCTCAAGATGTTATGTAACGCCGCAGCAATGCATCTGCCTTGTACTTGACCCAGCAAAAAGGTTTCCTGGCTTTTATCTGGGGTCTGTTGTTCATCACTGTCGCGGTTTGTGTTTTACATTAGACAGAGATGCACTTATAGTAAGTACAACAGATGTCTTCCTTGTGCTGTAAACCTGCCACTACACCTGTCCTGTATGCAGCCACATTTGTACGTCTAGTTACTGTTAAATGGAACAGGCCTATCAAACAGTGGCCTCTGATGGGGAAATTGAAACCTCAGGGTTTTATTCTAAAAACACTGACCTTTAAATCAGCATGCAGGAGGTAAGAGCAGAACAAACAGTGCATCAGTGACGGAGGACTGAGAGCTCACCAGAGATTTCCACCACACCGTCCTTGGTCTTCACCACCAGCTCCTCGGGAGAGAAGTGGTTGACATCCAGGCACACCTTCCAGTTGTCTTGAGTCTGCTTGATCTCTGACATGCCGCTGCTCACCTGGCGGGACAGGGCCCGAGCCTGATGGGCCATCACGGGGTTGGGGTACACCATGGGAGCGGGGTGCATCATGGGTGCCATTTCCGGGGCCAGGATGGAGGGCCTCAGGTACCCCGGCCAGTGGGTGCTGGGGAATGTGCCGAAGTCCTCGGGCAGAGCCGGCATACCGAAGGCCTGGTCGAAGATGCGGCTGCTCTGCTGCCAGTCACGGAATGGGTCCCAGCTGGGGGTGCGGAGCAGAGTGAAAGGAATACGTCTCTCAGTCATGACGGCTGTGTTCAGGCGGCGGAGGAGTGCTGCTGCTGCTGTGTGCGGATGAAGAGCTCTTTGGCCTCTCTGGTAAAGTTTTCCCAATGTGCTGTGTGCCGCTCAGCTGAGAGCTTTTATACACACTGAACCCACCCCTGTCAACAGAGCCCTCCCCTCTGACTCAAGCCCCCGGCCCCGTCACACCCCCGAAATGTTTCAGGAAAGCACGAGAATATCTATTTGTGGCAGACGTAGCACTCGAATGGAATCCAACAGGAAGGCCCTCCCCAGCAGCAGCTGCCCACTGTTAAACCCTCCTCCCCCCATGCTGTGTGTAATCCCCCTCCTCTCCTGTCTGGGCGTCCCGAAGTGAGAGCCAGAAGAATCTGGGAGGCTGCTGTCAGCCCGGCCTGCTGAGCACAACTAAGACTAACATGCTATTTCTAACATGGATCTATATAGACGATGATGTGATGCGCTTTACAGAACCAGCATAGCTGTGGGCTTATTAAAAACACAGTGAAATGTGACTTTGTGGCCTGAATGTAAATGAGCTTTACATTCACGCACAAAAACATTGTTTAAATTAAAATGAAGCTGGAGAGATAAATCTTAAATGTTCACAAGTATTTGCAGTCGGCAGTTATCAGATTGGTGTCGGTGCTATTAACGTCACAAATGGAGCTTTAATAAGCCACGGTTGCTCAAAGAACACCATTACTGCCACCGTGACCGGCTTCATCGTATGTCACACGTGTTCCTGCTGATTTCACAGCAGCACTCTCATGAGATGTTCGGCTAAAAAGGCTTCTGCGTTGCACCCTGTCACCCTGCGCCTATAGGATCTGATAGAAAGTGAGGGAGTGGGTTCACAGCCTCCTACAGACCCGGCAAAGCTGCCACACAGCTGAGTTTTCTTCAGTCATAAGAAGTTGTGGAATTCCTTCCCAAGAAAAAATAAAAAAGATTTAATAAAAATATCACTGATCTCTTTCTTTTTTGCTGTCATTTCTTTCAGTTTCCGGTTGAGGACTGTGGGTGGACCGTGGATGCCCATGCAACCTGCAGGTGAGGACGAGGATGAGCTAAGGCCTTTGTTTTTGGATCCAACAAGAACACCTCTTACTGGTAGAAATTTTGAAATATCACATGAAAAAGAGCATGCAGTCGTCCTCTAATGTATTCATACCCTCCCTTTAAAGAAGGAAAAAAAAAACAGCTGTCACTGAAATAAGCTGAAATTGACAAAAGTAATAATGAAAAAAAATGTAATGATCATCATGACAGAAATATATATATATATATATATATAAAAGCAAACAAGCCTGATGGGACCCATAAACTAATATTTAGTTGAACAACCCTTTGAGCCAATCACTGCCATCAGGGGTTTTCTGTAACTCTCAGTCAGACTTCTGCACCTGTTGACAGGTGTTCTGGTTTCACTGCTCATCAGCAAAGTGCTCTAATTTGTCCAGGACAGTTTTTTAAAATTTTTTTTTTATTCTTTACAAATACAATTCAAAGCAATGTCTTATTTCACTAAATTATAATTCAACAAATTTTTTATTTATTATTACCTTTTTCAGTTTCTAGTTATTTAAGTGAATATTGTGAGTTTTGGCTTTTCTTTAATGGATACATTTGAGGATGACTGTATGCACCTTATGCTGTGTTCCGTTTAGATGAGTTCGTTTTTAGAGGTCCTGGTACTGAGCATGTAGTACCAGGTTACCAGGACACCTGAAGGACCTGAGCTGTTATTACTAGAATGTGTTTTCATCGGTACTTTCACTGCGATGACAAGTATTGGGCTTCACCGTTCAAACACGAAAACTATTCTCATGAAACAGGCCACGCTGTCCGTCTTAATTTAAGTCTTATATCTATTTTTATGGTTTATTTTAGAGTTTATTTTACTTCTTTTTGGAATAAATCCAATCCCATGGAGTTACACACTAGTATCTGATATCTGTTTCTAAATTACGCCACGTCCTCCTCTAAGTCCTTTGACCAGAGGTTGCAGTACTTCTGGGCAGCAGGAGAAGGTTCTAGCCCGTTTTGTGCCGTTTTCAGTCATGCATGCCAGGTTCTGGAAGGTTCTCATTAGTGCCATCTGTAGGAAGATACTAGCACAGCACCTGCAACCCATCATATACCTGCAGATGAAGTCAGGGTTTTAGAAAGTATAGAATTGGGTATCGGTATCGGGCCGATACTCGACGAAATTACGGTATCGGATGATTTCCTTCACAGTGGTAACTGGCCGATCCGATACCGCCACACACACACAATCCTGCCTTCCGACACGTCCACGTGTTCGTCTGCTCATTGGCTACAAGTTTACAGCTTCAGAGAGTGTCTGCAACCCGACTGGTCGAATCTACAAGGGTGGAACTTGTGCGTACCGGGTTGACTGTCTCAGACACTCCATTTTGTGTTTTGGCCTGGAAAAAACATGTTGTTTTTCGCAAAAAAGGTCACGTCTCAGAATGTCGTGAAATTGTGTCTGGATGTAGTATATAGTGCAAATAGTGTAATGCATGTGGTAGAAAACACCTTAGGCAAGTATTTCCTGAAAAATGACACATTTTGTGTTTTGGTCGATAAAAGAAAAAGTCATACTATAGCATGTCGTTTTTCGTATAATGGTGTAGAGGAAAGACTGGTGCTTCTTCATGCAGAAGGTTCTTGGTTCAAATCCAGTGTATGTCATTTGTTTTCTTAAAACCTGCTTTGTATCATCATTAAAAGAAACTCAGACATTAGCCTTCTCTGTCTTTCATGTGGGAGGTTCATGGTTCAAATCCAACAATGGACTTTCTATTTGTAGTTTACCTCTTTCTAGCATCAACTAAGCAAAAATAACATAAGAAAG